AATTTTGGCTTGGCTTGGATTGATTGAGGATTGTGGACTTTGGGATTGTCTTACTTTTCTTTTGGAATATTTTGGTTGGAGTAAGAAGAAAGAGGGAAAAAAGAAAAGAAAAGATTTATAATGGCTTTCTCCCTTGAGGAACTGAGGGATGAATATGAGCAAACAAAAGCAGCCTGTAAAGATGGTATGGAAAAAGCTTTTCTATTTTTTAGAAATGGCGCTGGTTAACTATGAACAGACAATGCGACAGATGGAACAACAACAACAAGAAGATGAAGACACCATCTTTAATGAATCCCAAAATTTATCTAAGGAAGAAGGAAGGAAGAAAGCGAGGAAAATGAAGGACTTAAGATCTAAAAAAACATTTAAGAAAGAGAAAAATATGATGCAAAATAAACACAATGATAGCAAACAAGAGAAAAAGGGAATACAACAGAGAAGGGATGCCAGCAAGACAGAGGTTAGAAGAAGGGGGGGTAGGAAGATCTGGTGGGGGAAGAAAGAAAGGGGAAAGGCGGAGAAAAGCCACAAAGTTTTAAAATTGGATGGGAAAAGAGGAATCTTTTTCAGGGATAAAGGGTAAAGTATAAATTTTCTTAAAAAAGATTTTGCAAGGTACATAAGACGGTATTGTAATATTTGTATTAGAAATAGAAAATTAGAATGGCTTAAGAGTTAATAAGAAATTAAAATGTTGAAATGTTTAATAATGATTGATTTTTAAAATGTAATAAAATATTGAAGGGAAAGGCAATGAGAATGCTATAAGATTTATTATTTAGATTTATTATTTAACTACGTATTTAGGAGGATACTATGTATTTAAACATTTCCGATTTATTACTCTGTTTTTATTGTTATTAAAAGTAAAAATTAATAGATAGAATGTACCAAGCAGAATCAGATTGGATATTAGGTGTCATTTTAAATGTTAATCTAATATTTAGGGAGAGGATAGAAAGGCATCATACTCTGATTAGAGATTTCAGGAGAAATTCTTTTTTTTTTTTCATTATAAGGAATGAGATAGAGGGATAATAAAGGATGGGCAAAAGATACAAATATAATGATTTAAATTAAGATGGATTGAATAAGATAGAATTATGAAGAGTGAAATGTGTGGAGAAATATATATAGAAGATACAGAATGGTAAACAAAATAGGTAATGATCTCTAAGATGAGCATGAATATAATTAAAGCCCATATAAAGAGAGGTACCGGGGGCCAAGTTACTTTACTAAAAGATTTTTTATATGTTTGTTTGTGTCTGTTTATGTTTTTGAGAAGTATTGGTGAAACCTTTTAGAAACACAGAAAGAGAATGACGATAATCAAGTCAGAAAGAAATAGAGGACAAGAGATGTTTTTATGCTCATTTAGAAATGGTTTAAAATAGAATTGTATTGTATAAGATAAGGTTTTATCTGACTTGTAAAATTTATAATGGAAAAAGGTTCAAATATGTAATGGTTGATGATGATTTGTTTGTTTTTGAAATTAATAAAACTTGTTTAAAAATAATAATAATAATGAAGAGAGGTTCAGCCATGCTATCAAGGAAGTTCCTTCAGTACCCTAGGTTATAATTCATCTGATTCTGAAATTGTAGTTACTGAAAGTCAGTAGGTGTTTTCCAACCGTATCTCTTTCAAATTCAAGCTGTCAACCTTTTTCAGTCAGTAGCATCTGTAGGAACTTGCCAGTTTCATCAGAATGATGAAAGCAAAGTCACACTGCAAGGTCAGCCCCTTTTGGGTCAGCATGCAAGGTCACAACACATATAGAGAGGGAATGGAACTTGCATGGTGATGCTGTGCTATCATCCTGATTCTTCCCCCCTTCCCATCTTACCCAGATACTGCTGTGTGCAGTTTACTTCTCACAATTGCCCAGTTTAATGCATTCACGCTTGCTAAGAGAATTGCTCTGCCTTTGCTTTGCCTTTGGGTAATAAGGAGAAAAAAGGAACTGTAGCTACTGAATATTTTTATTCAGTAGCTAAAGTACCTTTCTTCTCCTTACTATGAATGTAGATGTAATATTTTTTTTGTTACTCTTTATTAACTTTAGCTTGTTTTGATCTACAAATGTGTGTTACAATATTTACAAATGTGTGTTACTTGCCTGTGTGATATCTTGTTAACCTCTACTCTTTTGTTGTGTGTGTGTGTGTGTGTGTGTGTTTATGCGTGCGTGTGTGTGTGTGTGTGTGTGTGTATCCATATTGATTTATAGATCCTTACAAAGGTCTTTGTGCAGATATATTGGCTTTTGCATTTCTTTCATCTCAGGAATTATTTTATACTGTGCTTTTAATTCCCCCTTTATTAGGACATTTCACCCTTTTGAGCTTTTCCTATCTGAGCTTCTACCACGAAGTACTAAATGCATTAAAATTTGTTTCTTGAAATTATTTACGTTTCAAACTTTATCCTTTTAAACCTAATTTACATAAATTGGGAATGTAAGTCAGTTAAAGTTGGTTTCAGTTGGACCTGCATATAACTGCTGTAATTAAATCAGTATGTATTTTATATTTGTTTTAATTTTTTAAAAATCAATCATTATTACAGTAACATTTTCCCTATTTGTTAGGATTTGTTCAGGAGTAGTTGATTCCCTATTGTATTCTTTATGGCATAAAGTTGTCCTTTCCAGTTAAAAATGCCAAAGAAAATAATAATGGAAGACCACTTTGAGTAAGAAAAAAATTCTATGGTTTCTGCTTTATTAATTTAAATTAGAATCCTCATTGGAAAGATGCACATGATTAGATTGTGTAATAATAGAGAATTGGACATAAAGATAAATAATCAAACTAGAATAACTATGAACATAAAATCCAGAGTTGCTAGAAGAAGCAACTACCTAAGGATTAAAATATGGAAATAAAACAAAGTTGCTGAATTTACAGATCAGAATACAGGATATTACATGGCTTCTTTTTCTAATGTGAATGCTGTTTTTTTAGTCTGTAGGTGGCAGTAATTTGCTACAATAATGGTACACTAAGGCTTTCAGATTTAACCAGAGATTTTAATGCCTTAATAAAACATATACATTAAAATATGTTCATAGGAACCATTGTAATTAGAGTCCAATATAATTCAGTAGGTTGACTTGAATATAGGAACCCTAGGTTTTTGTTCATATATTGTATTTGTGGCAGCAGGTAGCAGGCTGTTATTTATCAAGCCCCCAAGTGTTAACTTTTAAAAATAATGCTATTGCTGACTTTTGTAAAGCAAAATATTTCAGTGGGCTCTGAATGTTAAAGCTTGGTTTATGGGAGAACTGAGCCTCCTAACTCCTTAAACGCTGTTGTAGTATGGTGAGTTCTTGTTATTAATTCACCAAAACCTTTTCTCATGTTTTATTTATTGTGTTGAAGCGAAATGTTTATATTTATATTGATTTACAAAATTATATAATATTTATATATATATATATATTATTTTAAATTATATTGCCAAACTGTAGCTATTGGTACTATATATACTCGCTGATAAACCCAACTATGTATAAGCTGACTCTCAAGTTTTTAACCAAAATATCATGAAAAATACCACTCCTTATATAGTAGAATATTATTGTATCGTGCAAAAGCTGAATTTAATTCTCGACGTATCCATGAGTGTTTATAGTATTGCTTGAGGTTAGTAGTAGCATCCCTGCAATCCCATGTTCAGAATCTGGCCACCTGGCCACCTGCTTCCTATTACAGCATCCATTTCTTGAGGTTAGCAACATTCCAGAAATGGCCTGGCAAAGTACTTAGTGTTGCTATGAGGAGCTAGGGTAACTATATTGTGTGAATGTGTGGTGTGGTGTGGTGTGAGAGGGAGGTGAGTAAGTGAGGAGTAGAGTGTGTCAACTTGAGAGGGAAGTAAAGGAGGAGAAAGAAAAGGCATAAACACCGATATTGAGTCAGGTACAGGTAAGTATCATAGGGATCTGATGGTGGGCTGTACTTGAGTTCTCACTATTTGAGAATGCTCATGACAGCCAACCTTCATGACATTCACTTTGTTTACTAGGTTGCCAAATCCTCAACATCAGTCCTGGCATTAAAACTAAAACCTAGATAGGTCCAGAATGAGGAGTTCCCCTCTCACAAATGTGCCTACCCAGATTTCAGGGTTGACATTAGCCTAAGCCCAGAGGAAGTTGGGTGATTATTGTCATTTACGTGGCTTTAAGAAATGTTAAAGTTCTGTGTTACATAACTGAATGTAATAAATTTTGGTTGAAGTTGGGCTCTAGGAAACAGCTGGGACTTGTATTGTCCTCCTTGCTGCCCAGTATCATTTCTGCCCTTTCTCCTGGATTCTATTGCCTGCCTGATTCTGGTGACCCCAAAGTTGTTAGGCTTCAGGAATTTAAACTTGCTGCCACACAGAGTTGAGTCCTGGGGCAGTCAGGACTTCACAGACACCATGGAGTTGAAACACTGATTGTACTAGTGGTTGGGTTTAGGTATGGGTTTTTTTCCTCTCAGAACAGTTGAAGTGTGATCTGGTAGCAGAGGATTTTACCATACATTGATTGCCATAGTCTGATAACTTTTTGATTGTCTTTTGCTTTCTGTTATGCAGAGAGATAGGGCCTATTAGATTGACCACCCCATGCGACTGATGTACCCTGCTAGGTTACAGAAGGATCTTAAGGTTATCTTTGAGAATCTTTATCATAACCTGGAATGAGTAGATGATAAAACCCTCAGACTTCATGGCTACTATTGGATCTTTTCCTGCATGCTCATTGTGATCTAGGGGAACACCTTGGTTTTCCAAGGAGCTCCAGGTGATGAAGCAATTGAAGAAATACCTGGAGTACTCTTGGAGGAAGTTGAAGAGCAAAACTAGAGTAATTAAACTATTCAACATTGTATTGTGGTGATAAGGGCAGTGAAACATTATTTCTCCATCCTCGTTAAAATATAAATATATGTACTGGGTAAAGCACTCCTTTTAGTAGTTTCCCAAATGTTTTTCAGGATGTTTTAGAAAATTCTTTGAGCCAGGAGTTCACTGTGGAGAATGTGCTTGCAATACTTCCAGCATTTCCCAAGGGTGCCCCTCAGCAGCGGGCTAAGAGAGCAGTAGACGCCTTTGTAAAAGCTCAGAATTATTCCAGGCAAATGTCAATGCAGCAGGTGAGTGGGTGTGAATTTAATGCAACCCAGCTTTTTATATTGAGAAGAAAAATTGAAATTTTGTTGTACTTTGCAATCACTGGGCATATTTTTCTTACTGCAGGTAGTCCTCAACTTAAGACCAGTCATTTAGTAATCATTTACATTTATGATGAAGCTTCCCAGGCCTACAAATTTGAAATTCCAGTGGCTTCCTGCTCTCTGTGGTCTTGTGATTGCATTTGGTCACTTGACAACTGGCCCCGCATTTATTGCCATTTGCAGCATTCTACAGACACATCACTGCAAATTATTTTTATTTTTTTGCCCAAAACTGGCATTTTCTTTTGATTTCCAACAAAAAGCAGCAATTGATTCACTTAATGGTTGCTGCAAAAAGTTGTAAAATTTGGTGTAAAAATGGTGACCACTTAAATGGCATGATGTGATGACCCAGGGTGAGATACAAAACAAACACAGTCACAGAAAACAGGTGATGCTCCTTTTATTCCTTCACTTTGCTTCTAAGCTCTGAATATTCTTGAGGAAAGCCAAAAAACTCCCACACAAACAGTTACAAGGAAAAAGCAACACAAACCAGTCAAGATAAGGACTGGAGGACGTCCACAGATAACAAACACTGGGAAAAAACAACATGCAATAAATGTATAATAATTCACACATTAAAACAACAGTGACCATAACACAAGGATGGACAATCACCAAATGTTATGATGAGGTTCTGATTGTTAATATCCAATCATGCATGAGTAAGAAGTTAGGACGTCCTCAATACCAAAAAGACAGTAGTATTCAAAAGATATTGTGCATTGTGGTCTCCCATAATGCACATTTCTTAATTCTAGGGGTGCTACAGAGGGTCCATCCCCCACAGAATTTCATATATCAGCAATTGCATATTGGGAGAGATGCTTCTTCAGTGATCAAGAAACAATTTGAACGGAGCCTGGATATTGTGTGCAAAAGACAGTAACAATTTAACAACACTCAGTAAATTAAATCTTCAACTTTGGCACAACAGTTAGGTCATGGACTTTCAAATCAGTTATAGTTGTAGTGTCCTTTTTTTCTTTTAGAAGGAGAACTATAATCCATTGCTGCAGCTCACGCTCTGAATAACAGAAAGTCTCAAAGTCATTTCTTGATATCCTTAATGGAAGGAATCTCTGGGAGGACTGAGAAGAAATGTTAGAAAAAGCCTGAAATGTGCCAGTAATGTTAGAAAAACCAATGCCTGTTTTGTAATAACAGATAAAATAAAGTAGGTTTTGTCTCCTAATTCAGCAGCTCTTTGTATCCTTAAAAGGTAACTTTGGAATAACAGAAATCCGATGCTACTGCTTTGAATATACACAGTTGGATATGTTTACATGAAATCATGCTATAATTTTAGCTACACAAATGCCTATCTATCTAGGCACTTCTAGTTGTTCGTTATTACCTATTGCTGTAACTTAAATAATTTATAATATTAAATTGTTTATTTGAAGTTGAGACAAAAAAAATAAAGTTTGGACTTATATATTAAAATACCACTATCTAGCCCCTGGAGTACCTTAGAATTAAAAAAACATTATAACAATGTTATTGTTAATTATCCATTAATTGATAAAAATTGAGACTTAATCCAGTTAATTTATTAGATCTAACTGGACATTGTTCTAAATCTATGTATGTGAGAAGTTAAAAATTATTAATGTTAGGGAAAGCATTGCAGAGCAGGACTTCTTAAGTTTTTTACAGTGCTTTTACCTTCAATTGTTATAGATGTCCTTCAACTTACAGTTTGTTTAGTGACTGTTTAAAGTTACAATGGTACTGAAAAAAGTAACCCGTGACTATTTTTTACACTGTTGCAGCATCCCCATGGTTGCGTGATTTACATTCAGATTCTTGACAATTGGTTCATATTTATGACAGTTGCAGTGTTCCGGAGATCATGTGATAATATTTTGCAACCTTCTGACAAGCAAAGTCAACCGAGGAGCCAGATTCACTTAACAAATGTGTTACTAATTTAACAACTGCAGCAATTCACTTAACAACTGTGGCAAGAAAAGTAAAATGGGGCAAAACTCACTTAACAAATTTCTCACTTAGCAACATACATTCTGGGCTCACTTGTGGTCGTAAGTCAAGGACTACCTGTATCTTGTGTGGATGTTGTATGTGTGGATGTTTCTACATATATAATTTGGAGGATAACTTTACATAATTTCTCTCTAACATTCTCTTAGGTTATATTAGAAACAGTTTAAAAATTAAAATACTGCAGAATTCTCATCATACTTTATTTGTTTATTTATTTTTGATATGAAACTAGCATGCAAGGTGCAGACTACTTCTAGCAAGAAAGACACTGTCAGGATGGTATCTTTGGGATCTAGTTCACTGGAGTTTTCTAATAGAAAAACCAATCTGCGCTTCATTTTCAATTGTTTTGTCCTGGAACCATTTTATCTTTTGTCTGGGAAAGTACATTAGATCATTGAAGTAATCTAACTGCTAGCTCAATAAGATGGCCAATAACCCTGAAGACAAAATTGTCTCAGACCCATTTCATAATATTTATTTTTCCATAGACTATTGGATACTCCCTGCAGGCAAGGAAGAGAATATTTAATGACTTTCTGCAAAGAACGTGTCTTCATTTTTCTCGTTACCTTGATGTTAGTATAGTATGTTAGTAGCAAGTTATATTCAAATTTAAACCTAAATTCCCAGTGTGTTTATATTATTCCGCTGCCTGCATTTAATTCCATCTCAAGGATTTCATTAATCTTGTGTAGTGAAAAATATTTTCAACACAAATGGAATAAAGATCAGATCACCCAATAAATTGTACTTTAGAAAGTATAATTTATTTTGTTCTAACATTCAACTCTCTCTTCAGTTACACAAACTGAAGTAGGAAAGGGAAAGATTGCTCCTTAGAATATAAATGAATCTTATTATATAAGTCTTTTCTTTTGACCTTGTAAAGCAATCTATTAAAAAGTGTAATTTAAAATGTTTTAGGGAAACATTGCATTTAATGCTTTTTAAAGCAACTTGACAAATATTCAAACTTCCTTCTAGATTATTTTTTGTATATTGTTTGGGCAGTATTATCATGTTTATGGATTAGAGGTATTGGGTAAAGGCAAACTTTTCCAGCTAGCACTTCAGAAGTTTGGTTAGTACCTCTTAACTGCTAATTCATATAGTAAACGTGAAGGTTCATTCTTTGAGCTTGTGAGTTGGTTCCTGAACATTTCATTACCAGGTTAGGCAACATCTTCAGCAAAATTTAGGGAATGGTCAGTATTGGTGTTCTTCTGTTTATAAGGGCTTCAGGTGTGTGTCAAGTGAGGGTCTTTTGATGGGTC